TTTGTTTTTTGGCTATGCAGGATGTTGATGGCAGTGATATGGTTCAGTCTGACTATGAGTCAGACAAAGAGCAGGGTGGTCAGGAAAAGAATCCTCTCTTGGAAGCACTTGATGACGGGGAAGGGCCTACTCAGGAAGAGATTACAAATAACTGGTTTAGTCAGGATATCTTTGCCGAAGCTGTAGAGCAGGGGGATTTGGATAAGTCTGATAGTGAAGATGAAATGCAGGTTGAAAGGCAGGAGAAACCTTCCTTGGTAGGAAAGGCCAAGGAGAATAATGCAATTCAAAATGTTAAGAAAAAGATTGAAAACGATGCTGCAGGGTCCAATCACCATCAAGTCCAAGCTTCAAAGGCAGAGGATGATTTTGAGATAGTCCCGGCTCCTGGTACAGATTCAAGTGATGACTCATCATCAGATGAATCGGAGGATATGGATATTGATAAGAAAGCTGAGATACTGGCATGTGCAAAGAAAATGCTGAGGAAAAAGCCAAGGGAACATATGCTTGATGATGCGTATAATAAGTACATGTTTGATGATGAGGGCTTGCCCAGGTGGTTTTTGGATGAGGAAAAGAGGCACCGCCAACCAATCAAACCTGTGACCAAAGAAGAGATCAATGCAATGAAAGCGCAATTTAAAGAAATTGATGCCCGGCCTGTAAAGAAGTTGGCAGAGGCTAAAGCTAGAAAGAAACGGGTTGCCTTTAGGAAGCTTGAGAAGATTCGTAAGAAGGCAAACACGATATCAGACCAGGCAGACATCTCTGATCGTTCAAAGAGGAAGCAAATTGAACAAATGTATAAGAAGGCCGAGCCTAAGAGGCCTCAGAAGGAGTACGTGGTTGCAAAGAAAGGAGTTCAAGTCAGGGTTGGCAAGGGTAAGGTCCGTGTCGATCGACGGATGAAAAAGGATGCAAGGGGTAGCGGAGCGGGTAAAAGGCCAGGAAAAGGCAATTCAAAGAAAAGTAAAAGTAGTGGCAAGGCTCAGAAAGGTAAGGGGCCTGGAAAGGCTTCAGCAAAGCCAGGAAGGGCATCAGCAAAGCCAGGAAAGAAGGGTGGCAGATGAAAAAAATACGGGCACGCATGACTGAGCTTCCTTTTAATCAATAGGCGTTCGCAAATTTCCAACATGGTTTTTGTTTTTCCTTTCTTTATATTTTGTTATTCCATTTTTGTTTATTGGAATAAGCTATAATTGTGAGTTATTATTTTATTGGATAAAAATACGGGCACGCATGACTGAGCTTCCTTTTAATCAATAGGCGTTCGCAAATTTCCAACATGGTTTTTGTTTTTCCTTTTTTTATATTTTGTTATTCCATTTTTGTTTATTGGAATAAGCTATAATTGTGAGTTATTTGTTGTAATCATGGTTCAAAACATTAATCCCTTAGTAAACCAAACAGTTTTTTTATTATTTTATTTTATGTTTTTCTTTTTGTGGCGGTGCTCAACATATGTTCTCTGGTTGGCTTGCACTTTAACAAATCCATGGTTTAATGTTTAAAAGCTTAGAGGTATTTACACTAACAGTACTTGAGGTTTTCGGTGTTTTTACAAAATCCATTGAGGTTTCAAAAATTACACGAACACCCTCAGCGGTTTCAATTTGTTTTCACGAAATTCCTTTTAATTTTTTAATTTGATGATTTCATCCAAAATTTGATGATTTCACACATTTATTTTTTAATTTTTTGCAAATAACAAAATTAACTGAATGTATGTGCAATCTAATCTCATAGGCTAACTTTGTCATTTGAAGAAGTTTTTTTATATATAAATCATCAATCTTTAGGCAACACCCTCAGCGGTTTCAATTTGTTTTCACGAAATCCCTTTTCATTAATTTTTCATCCAAAATTTGATGATTTCACACTTATTTTTTAATTTTTTGCAAATAACAAAATTAACCTCGATGAATGTATGTGCAATCTAATCTCAGAGGCTAACTTTGTCATTAGAAGTTTTTTATATATAAATCATCAATCTTTAGGCGAAAGATCAATGGAAAGGGGTTTGAGGAAAACAATTTAAGACCTAAGGGGGTGTTTGGATAAATTTTAAAACTTAAGGGGGTTTTGTGAAAATACCAAAAACCTCAGAGGGTGTTAGTGTAAATAACTCAAAAGCTATTGACTAATTCAGTATTGTCTAGTTAATTTCTTGAGCCAGATTGGATATAATGTGATTATCAAAATAGCACCATGTTATGCCTGGTTAATACTGAACTTGTTAATAATGAGGCCTGTTGCATAAACAAGAAACCGTGCTCATAACATCCCACAATTTCTGTTCCAATTTCTTTCCATGGTATTATATTAATCCTTGCAAGTGATGTTTATTGTTTTATTTTGTAATTCATTAGAGTACGAAAGAAGGATTAGTAGAGCTCAGAATTAGAAAATAATAATCATTTTAAACATACATATCGGCTTAAGATTAACAAGAGTACTCTTTTCCCGAATTGTCTAGTTCTGGTTAAGACACATAATCGAAGTATCATTAGTACTTGTCTGTGGTTCATTATTTTATTACATTAAGAGAATATTAGGGCACAAGTTAGTGAGGATTATCATTCCATTTGTATGATTGTTACTGAAACGTGAAACATTTCAACCAAATGGAGGACAATCCCATTAAAGCTATTAGTTTGTTTGTTTGTTTTTTTTTTTCCTGGGTACAAATACCTCTGTTGGCAGGGCTCGAGACCAAAGAGCTCAACCAACTGAACTATACTCCACCAGCTGCTATTTGTTTGCTTCAACCAAATGGTGGAGAATCCCGTTGAGGCTGTTAGTCTTTCCCAGGGCTCGAGGCCAAAGAACTCAACCAACGGACTTATATCCCACCGATTGTTATTTGTTTGTTTCAACTAAATGGTGGAGAATCCCATTGAGGTTGTTAGTCTTTGCCGAGGGCTCAAAACCAAAGAGCTCAATCAACTGACCTATACTCCTCAACCAAATGGGGGTGAATCCCATTGAGGCAGTTAGTTTCTTCACATGCATCCCCATTTACCATTTTTCATCCAAAATTGCATCTTCGAAAAGTAATGGCCATAATGATGAACAATTCAACTGAAGCCGAAAACCAGGACCACCGGAGAAGAAACAGAAAAGGAATTGCAAAAGAAATTAAAATAAAATCTACAGGCGTTCATTTCCATCATTTAACCAAAGGTAGCACAGTACAACAGAGATGACATAAAGGGGGTAGCCCCCATATGCTATTTTTGCACACCAACTAGCTAATTATTTGCAAAGACAGTGCTAGTTTTACTCAAAGAAAACCCAACAAGATGAGGCTTTCAGGCTCAAACAAACTGGTTAAGGTACTCGTCCACAGTAGTGTATTTGACATCAGGGTAAAGGGCCGAAGCTTCCACTCCAAATGAGGGCTCGACCTCAAAGTTAGTTTGGTCTCCCTTCACTAAAACTGAGTGACCAATCGATAGAATCACATTGATTGGCACAGCAGCCTCTGCAGAAAAAAGAAAGAAGAAGATGAGAAAAATGAATCAGTCCATTGACAAAGTAAATACCAGTTGTTGCTAAGTTTTAGTATTTCTTATTACTGACCTTCAATGTTCTTGAGCAGTTGCTCCTCTGGAACATAGATCCTCTCAAGGGTTTTACCAATCTTCTTCTCCCAAAGAGACACAAGATCATTGAATGAGATGGTGTTGGCTGGGGGCCTGATGTAGAGGATCTTGTTCAAGGTTCTTGGGTCATCCACGGCCTTAATGGTGCAGGCCCCAATGTCCTCTTCCTTGTTGAAAATTGCTGCAAAATCAAAGAAATGAAAACCCCATCACATCCATTTCATTGGCTTTTCATCATTTTGTCAAGACAGAAAAAAAATTAAAAATCAAAGTGGCTTTTATGTAAGGACTAACATCAAAAGACGCCCTCAAGGTTTGGGGCCATTCTTAATATGGGTCAACGGGTTTTAATTTTATCATTTTACACCCCATAGTTTTCAAATTCGATGACTAATTCAGTATTGTCTAGTTAATTTCTTGAGCCAGATTGGATATAATGTGATTATCAAAATAGCACCATGTTATGCCTGGTTAATACTGAACTTGTTAATAATGAGGCCTGTTGCATAAACAAGAAACCGTGCTCATAACATCCCACAATTTCTGTTCCAATTTCTTTCCATGGTATTATATTAATCCTTGCAAGTGATGTTTATTGTTTTATTTTGTAATTCATTAGAGTACGAAAGAAGGATTAGTAGAGCTCAGAATTAGAAAATAATAATCATTTTAAACATACATATCGGCTTAAGATTAACAAGAGTACTCTTTTCACGAATTGTCTAGTTCTGGTTAAGACACATAATCGAAGTATCATTAGTACTTGTTTGTGGTTCATTATTTTATTACATTAAGAGAATATTAGGGCACAAGTTAGTGAGGATTATCATTCCATTTGTATGATTGTTACTGAAACGTGAAACATTTCAACCAAATGGAGGACAATCCCATTAAAGCTATTAGTTAGTTTGTTTGTTTGTTTGTTTTTTTCTTGGGTACAAATACCTCTGTCGGCAGGTCTCGAGACCAAAGAGCTCAACCAACTGAACTATACTCCACCAGCTGCTATTTGTTTGCTTCAACCAAATGGTGGAGAATCCCGTTGAGGCTGTTAGTCTTTCCCAGGGCTCGAGGCCAAAGAACTCAACCAACGGACTTATATCCCACCGATTGTTATTTGTTTGTTTCAACTAAATGGTGGAGAATCCCATTGAGGCTGTTAGTCTTTGCCGAGGGCTCAAAACCAAAGAGCTCAATCAACTGACCTATACTCCTCAACCAAATGGGGGTGAATCCCATTGAGGCAGTTAGTTTCTTCACATGCATCCCCATTTACCATTTTTCATCCAAAATTGCATCTTCGAAAAGTAATGGCCATAATGATGAACAATTCAACTGAAGCCGAAAACCAGGACCACCGGAGAAGAAACAGAAAAGGAATTGCAAAAGAAATTAAAATAAAATCTACAGGCGTTCATTTCCATCATTTAACCAAAGGTAGCACAATACAACAAAGATGACATAAACGGGGTAAGCCCCCATATGCTATTTTTGCACACCAACTAGCTAATTATTTGCAAAGACAGTGCTAGTTTTACTCAAAGAAAACCCAACAAGATGAGGCTTTCAGGCTCAAACAAACTGGTTAAGGTACTCGTCCACAGTAGTGTATTTGACATCAGGGTAAAGGGCCGAAGCTTCCACTCCAAATGAGGGCTCGACCTCAAAGTTAGTTTGGTCTCCCTTCACTAAAACTGAGTGACCAATCGATAGAATCACATTGATTGGCACAGCAGCCTCTGCAGAAAAAAGAAAGAAGAAGATGAGAAAAATGAATCAGTCCATTGACAAAGTAAATACCAGTTGTTGCTAAGTTTTAGTATTTCTTATTACTGACCTTCAATGTTCTTGAGCAGTTGCTCCTCTGGAACATAGATCCTCTCAAGGGTTTTGCCAATCTTCTTCTCCCAAAGAGACACAAGATCATTGAATGAGATGGTGTTGGCTGGGGGCCTGATGTAGAGGATCTTGTTCAAGGTTCTTGGGTCATCCACGGCCTTAATGGTGCAGGCCCCAATGTCCTCTTCCTTGTTGAAAATTGCTGCAAAATCAAAGAAATGAAAACCCCATCACATCCATTTCATTGGCTTTTCATCATTTTGTCAAGACAGAAAAAAAATTAAAAATCAAAGTGGCTTTTATGTAAGGACTAACATCAAAAGACGCCCTCAAGGTTTGGGGCCATTCTTAATATGGGTCAACGGGTTTTAATTTTATCATTTTACACCCCATAGTTTTCAAATTCGGCCAATTTACACCGTCCCTCAAGTTCATTGTTAGATTTTCTGTTCAATTGGTGACGTGGCAATTGTGGTACCCACTTTGATACTGATGTGTGAACAAAAATAATAAAAAAATTATTTTAAAAAATTATTAAATTAGATTTTTTAAAATAGAAAAAAATATTCCCCACTCTCTCTCAGACAAAAAAAGAAAAAGAAAAAGGGGGATTCACTATTATACCCAATATAAGAGCCCAAATTATAAAAAAAAACCTATATGAAATGGACTTTAGAAACACACCCGAAGCCCATTTATAACATAACAAAAAACCTTTTAACTTCTTTTAAATTACAAAACTGTCATTGATTTCTTAAAACAAACCCAACCTCAAAACCTCATAAAAAAGCCCAAAACACTCAACAGGGCATCAAAGTAATTTAATAATCAAAATTAAATTCAATAGGGCCAGCTATCATTTTTTGGGTTTGTTTATAGAAATTAAATGGTATAGGGTTTATTTATAATTTTAGTGCTAAGAATGATTGTTACTGAAACGTGAAACATTTCAACCAAATGGAGGACAATCCCATTAAAGCTATTAGTTTGTTTGTTTGTTTTTTTTTTTCCTGGGTACAAATACCTCTGTTGGCAGGGCTCGAGACCAAAGAGCTCAACCAACTGAACTATACTCCACCAGCTGCTATTTGTTTGCTTCAACCAAATGGTGGAGAATCCCGTTGAGGCTGTTAGTCTTTCCCAGGGCTCGAGGCCAAAGAACTCAACCAACGGACTTATATCCCACCGATTGTTATTTGTTTGTTTCAACTAAATGGTGGAGAATCCCATTGAGGTTGTTAGTCTTTGCCGAGGGCTCAAAACCAAAGAGCTCAATCAACTGACCTATACTCCTCAACCAAATGGGGGTGAATCCCATTGAGGCAGTTAGTTTCTTCACATGCATCCCCATTTACCATTTTTCATCCAAAATTGCATCTTCGAAAAGTAATGGCCATAATGATGAACAATTCAACTGAAGCCGAAAACCAGGACCACCGGAGAAGAAACAGAAAAGGAATTGCAAAAGAAATTAAAATAAAATCTACAGGCGTTCATTTCCATCATTTAACCAAAGGTAGCACAGTACAACAGAGATGACATAAAGGGGGTAGCCCCCATATGCTATTTTTGCACACCAACTAGCTAATTATTTGCAAAGACAGTGCTAGTTTTACTCAAAGAAAACCCAACAAGATGAGGCTTTCAGGCTCAAACAAACTGGTTAAGGTACTCGTCCACAGTAGTGTATTTGACATCAGGGTAAAGGGCCGAAGCTTCCACTCCAAATGAGGGCTCGATCTCAAAGTTAGTTTGGTCTCCCTTCACTAAAACTGAGTGACCAATCGATAGAATCACATTGATTGGCACAGCAGCCTCTGCAGAAAAAAGAAAGAAGACGATGAGAAAAATGAATCAGTCCATTGACAAAGTAAATACCAGTTGTTGCTAAGTTTTAGTATTTCCTATTACTGACCTTCAATGTTCTTGAGTAGTTGCTCCTCTGGAACATAGATCCTCTCAAGGGTTTTACCAATCTTCTTCTCCCAAAGAGACACAAGATCATTGAATGAGATGGTGTTGGCTGGGGGCCTGATGTAGAGGATCTTGTTCAAGGTTCTTGGGTCATCCACGGCCTTAATGGTGCAGGCCCCAATGTCCTCTTCCTTGTTGAAAATTGCTGCAAAATCAAAGAAATGAAAACCCCATCACATCCATTTCATTGGCTTTTCATCATTTTGTCAGGACAGAAAAAAATATAAAAAATCAAAGTGGCTTTTATGCAAGGACTAACATCAAAAGACCCCCTCAAGGTTTGGGGCCATTCTTAATATGGGTCATCGGGTTTTAATTTTATCATTTTACACCCCATAGTTTTCAAATTTAGGGAGGGGCGGATATGTGGGTGGGGTTTTCAAGTTCTGGGCACAGAGAGGGAGGGAGATAGGAGAGAGAGAGAGTGGGGAATATTTTTTTTTTTCTGTTTTTAAAAATCTAATTTAATAATATTTTTAAAGAGTTTTTTATTATTTTTGTTCACACATCAACGTCAAAGTGGGTACCACAATTGCCATGTCACCAATTTAATAGAAAATCTAACGATAAACTTGACGGACGGTGTAAATTGGCCGAATTTGAAAACTATTGGATGTAAAATGATGAACTTCTTTTAAATTACAAAACTGTCATTGATTTTTTAAAACAAACCCAACCTCAAAACTTCATAAAAAAACCCAAAACACTCAATAGGGCATCAAAGTAATTTAATAATCAAAATTAAATTCAATAGGGCCAACTATCATTTTTTGGGTTTATTTATAGAAATTAAATGGTGTAGGGTTTATTTATAATTTTAGTGCTAAGAATGAGTATTTAACTAAATATCTCAAAAAAATATTCCCCACTCTCTCTCTCTCTTCTCTCTCTGTAGCTCTCTCTCTCTCTCCTCCTATCTCCCTGCCCAGAACTTGAAAACCCCACCCACATCTCCGACCTATCTCCCTCCCTCTCTCGCTCTCGCTCTCTCTCCCTCCCAGTCTCTACTTCGGTGATGGAGAAGCAGAGATTATCGCTTGGAGAATTGAAGCAGCTATTGATTTCCTTCTGTGCGTCGATGATGAGTTGGAGAGGCGGTAGGAGGGGATGGCGGCGAGGATGGAGATGGCGGCAGCGCTGACGTCAGGGTCGGGGAAGTTGAGATCAGTGAGAATTCCGAAGCAGACGGTGCCCCCCTTGCGAACCTTGACCCAACCCCACAGAAAGAAGAAGGCCAAGCGATCTGACAGAGCTAACGAAGCTCATAATTTTCTCGCTGACCTTAGACAAATCCATCTCATCACCTAGGAACAACAAAAATGGGACTAAGAACAAAACCCTAGGACTCCCCAAAATCTCCCAAACCCCAAATATTTCGTCTTTGAAGTTCTCGATGACTTTGGCCTTGGCTGGGTTAGAGAGAGTGGGCTCTCGCACCAGAGCGTAGGTTGGGTGGCCTGCCTTGGCGCTGGCTTCGACTATGAACTTTCCGATGTAGCCAGTGCCTCCGATGAAGAGGATTTTGGATTTGGTTGCTGCCATTGGATTGGGAAAGGGGAATGGGAGGAGTTGGAGAGTGAGAGCGAGAGAGAGCGTTAGGAGTGAGAGGAGAACAAGACGGGTAGCTGATAATGCCATTGACAATGAGGAAAGTGGCTTCACTATATAGACTGAGTGGGGATGAGTGGAATGACGAAAATGCCCTTGTACCTTCCTCTAGTTCAAGAATCCAACCCAGACACAGACGGTGAGAGAGGAAGAGAATGAGATAGTGAGTCGGGGAGGGGCGGATATGTGGGTGGGGTTTTCAAGTTCTGGGCAGAGAGAGGGAGGGAGATAGGAGAGAGAGAGTGGGGAATTTTTTTTCTTTTCTGTTTTTAAAAATCTAATTTAATAATATTTTTAAAGAATTTTTTATTATTTTTGTTCACACATCAGCATCAAAGTGGGTACCACAATACTTGTCCAAAAAAAAGGGAAGACATGGCGTTTGTGCTTGCGTTTGCATGATGCTAGGTTTGTAGCTGGTTGGCGTTTGTGCAGTGCTTGCGTTTCCAGGTTCATTCCTTCGAATGTAAAGTGTCCTCAGATTGGAGAAATCATACAAAAGTATGGTACTATCAGGTGGTAGTATGCACCAATTGCATAACGACATGTGTCATGGCAGATTTATTGGTAACGTCGTTAGTTACCAATTCCCCCCCTCTCTTTTTCGTTTTTTTAAGAAATAGAAAAGAAACCCTAAAGACTTATTTACTTTTATCGAAATCTGCACCATCGTTCTGAATAAAAATACAAACTACTTAAAGATATGTAGTTATATACTCATTCTTAACACTAATGATATAGATAAATCTTACACCTTTTAATTTAAAAAAAAAAGAAAAAAAGACATAAGCTATAAACAATCCTGATTCAATGAATACCTTATTCAAATGTGCCATGAAATCAGTACTTTGTAGCATGCTTGTAAAGGCATTTGATAGAACAATCACAAAACTTGAGTAAAAAGTTGTAGTTGAATCAATGGGCAATGAAGAAGTGCTTGAGAAATTGGGCAATCTGCTACAAAATAGGGAAGGCATAGAGAGAAAGCTATCAACAACCTATAGCTTGGGCAAGGATGGAGGCAGCTCAAGGTCAAAATCTCTTCTTCCATTATATGATGGGAGAACCAGAAGCTATTATTTTCAAGGTGTGAAGAAAGAAAGTGTTGTTGTCTCTGTTTTTTCTTTTTCAAATTTACATGGTGAGTAGGAAGATAAGGTGGGTTGTATCTCAAGTGATTAAAAGCAGACTTTGGCCTTGGCTGGGTTAGAGAGAGTGGGCTCTCGCACCAGAGCGTAGGTTGGGTGGCCTGCCTTGGCGCTGGCTTCGACTATGAACTTTCCGATGTAGCCAGTGCCTCCGATGAAGAGGATTTTGGATTTGGTTGCTGCCATTGGATTGGGAAAGGGGAATGGGAGGAGTTGGAGAGTGAGAGCGAGAGAGAGCGTTAGGAGTGAGAGGAGAACAAGACGGGTAGCTGATAATGCCATTGACAATGAGGAAAGTGGCTTCACTATATAGACTGAGTGGGGATGAGTGGAATGACGAAAATGCCCTTGTACCTTCCTCTAGTTCATTAGTGAACAAGGATGGGGTAGGCTTGTCCAAAAAAAAGGGAAGACATGGCGTTTGTGCTTGCGTTTGCATGATGCTAGGTTTGTAGCTGGTTGGCGTTTGTGCTTGCGTTTCCAGGTTCATTCCTTCGAATGTATGGTACTGATAGTACGCACCAATTGCATAACAACATGTGTCATGGCAGATTTAATGGTAACGTCGTTAGTTACCAATTCCCATCCCCCTCCATTACCAATAATGGAGGTGCACTTTCACAACTTTAGTTGGTCATAAAATATGAATCCCACTTTCTTTATGCATTTGAATAATGAATTATCAGTTTCTGAGCACTACGAGCTCTGAAAAACTTTAAAAAAAATATGGGGAAAGAGGCCATGAGAATAGACGGTGCTACTCATATAATTGTAAGGAAATCCAAGTACACTATTGAGCTTGTTAAATTGAATCCTCTAGGCATCAAAAAAGTAGCTCAGCCTAAAAAAGTGAAAAATGTAAGATAGAGTCAATAATGTTATGAAGATTCAAGAATTGAGTGAAAAAAGCTGTTACAATAAGGTGTCTAAATATTCACTGATTGTAGTAAAATTCTGCTCTGGATACAGATTTGTACCGTCTAGACCACCAGATGACTCGATATCGAAGTAAGTTTGATCTCCCTTTACAAATGCAGAATATATAAAAATCATCTCCATGTTGTCAGGATATGGAGTCTCTGCAATGCAACAAGCCACATTTTATTGGTATCAAACTAGGAAAGAAAATGAAGAACTAATGTTAACTGCAAAATTATTCATGGTACAAATAGTTAACAGAAAAAGCTCGTCAAAGGTCTAGTTATACAAATTAAGCTCTGCTAATAACGAAAAAGGGCAGCAGAGCCATATATTAAGATTTCAATCACAACAAGAGAGACGACCTAATAATCAAAGAGAACAAAATGACTGCCACATCAGCAGACAAGATGGCAGCCATGTCAGCAGGCCTGCTAATAACGAAAAAGGGCAGCAGAGCCATATATTAAGATTTCAATCACAACAAGAGAGACGACCTAATAATCAATGAGAACAAAATGACTGCCACATCAGCAGACAAGATGGCGGCCATGTCAGCAGGCCATCCAGCTGAACATCATACATTCAAACAGATCATGGTTGAAGATTGTTGGTGCAAAATCATTATAACTAATCTGTAAAAAATTCTAACCAACTTCAGCCATATATTGTGTTGTTCTTGTAAATGCTGTTTAACGAAACCAATGAGAAAACTTCTTCTCTGAAACATAAATTTTTTTCTTGTACTTTTAAAACTTCAATATTTTTGTTTTTCCTTCTGGATTCTTCTATTTTCATGGTATCAAAGCTTCAACCTAAGGGAATTTCTCTGATCCAAATCCAAGTTATATCCAAGCAACAATTTCAATTGTAAAGACTCTACCAAGATTAATCACGGCTGATTGTGAATTGGAAATGGTTCACAAACGTTACTGCCATTAACACAAACCTATTTAATGGCTTTAAAAATATAGTTAAGCTCATGACCCATCAATCTCTAAAGTAGATCTCTGTGTCTTGTACACGTTATATTTCTCATAGTGAAGAACATATATCTCTCTTGGACGTACGAAAGAATTTGTTGGACCACATCAATCTTGTGCATACATGTTTCTTTCATGTCCATCTATTCTTTCCTCTGTAAATTCTTGTGTAGTGTAATTTTTTTTGAATCTCACTTTGCACCTATAAATCCCAAAACAAACTAATAATAAAAAAAAGAATAAAGTGACCGGCACATTAGCAGACAACTTTGCTGGCCATGTTAGCCAGTGTTGCTAAGCTTAGGACCTTGTGCTGCTAGGATTTCTAGAGCCTTGAGCTCCCGAACGATGACTCAAAATATAGCTGTTACACCGAAACTGGGAGCAAAGAACTGCTTAGCTTTCAATTTGCCTCTAACCATCAAATGAGATGTGAATAACCTGTCCTTTCTTTGAAATAAAGGGTTCTTCTAGTTCTTTAGGTGCTTAAAACAATTCTATTTTCTCCACATTATTATATATCTAGAGTCAATAATTTTATATAAAGGCCTCCCAAAGGTAATGAATACGAGCAAAGGTTTCCTGCATAAAACTTGACGTATAGAAATCACATTGAGATCTTGAACCAACTCCAACCACAACCGCAATACTTACAAGATTAATTGGTGACAAAATGATCTGATTTCTGTAGGTTTTGGCCATGAAATGCACTTTAATCTCAACTATTTTCTTTCCTCTATTTTTCTTTTTTGTCCCTACCCTCAACAGAAATGTCATATATGCCTCGTGAAGGCAACCTAGCAAACATTTTGAATACCCAAATAGTATAAACTAGAAAAATACCTTTAATTTTCTTAAGAAGCTCTTGTTCTGATACAAATATCTTCTCCAGCTTCTTCCCAATCTTACTCTCCCAAAGCTCAACAAGTTCATTCATTGAGCACACATTTCCAGGCGGCCTCAAATACAAAACCTTATTCAACGTTTGTGGATCATCCAATGTCCTGATAGTGAACTCAGCAACATCACTTTCCTTCACAAAAACACCTGCAGACAAACCACACCACTAAACAGCAGTAGCAAATCAAAAAAATACATCAATGACAGCACAAATGCTCAATATTTCAACAGACCTTTAGTATTCCCGTCGCCAAAAATTGTAACCTTGTCCCTCGGAGGGACCTTGAGGCCTGGCTGAACAAGCTGAGGAAGCAAATAACTCATGTAGAAATTGCAGGAAATGTAAGTGTAGGGAATACCATGAGCTTCCACAAAACGCCTAATCTCAGATTTCTGCTTATAAAAGTTGTAGTCCATGTCTGATATTCTAGTCTTATCTGGGTCCAACCCAAATTCTGAGGGAATAAACCTCTGCAACCCACCACCATCCACAAATATAAAAATTTCGCTAAAAACATAAAGTGGGCAATTTAAAATAAAATAAAATTATACAATATAAGCCAAATTCTCAGGAAATGAACCTCTGCAACCCAGCACCAGTTCATAAATTTCACTAAAAAGCAGAAACTGGGTAGTTTAAAGAAAATGAAATTGTTTCCAAATTCCAAACCTTGATGCAGCCAGATTTTTTGATCACTTGGACAAGGAGCTTCTGAAGGAGGACTTGTTTGGACGAAACAGCACAAATCACCACATCCACTTGCTTCACTGCTGCCATAAGGCTTTCTTCGTCTTCAAGTGAACCCTGAAACAGAGAGAAGGAATTAGTTGAAAAAGTTTCAGTACATTTTAGCCGAGAAATTATGAGAGCCAGAGAGAGAGAGAGAGAGACTTGGAGGAGTGTGACGCCGGCATTGGAGAGAGAGTGAAGCTTGTGGGCCTTATGAGGGTCGGAGAAGGAAGAGGGCCTGACGAGAGCAAATGCGGGGTGAGAAAATTGGAGGGTGGCTTTGGCCAAATGGTGACCAAGATTTCCAGTCACTCCGATTATCAATACCCTGCTCTTCTCCATTTCTCAAACACTCTCAAATCCCAAAAAGACAAAAGTAAAAATATCTCTCAAAATCAGTTTTTTTTGGCTAACTTCTTACGTTTCTTGGATCAATCATCAAAGTGTTTTTACGAACTCCCCTGATTATACCAAGGAAGAATTTACAACACATTTTGACACATTTTTTGTGCCATTGGATAAGACCACATTGGATGGATGAGATTATTTCTGACATATACATTTGTTTTCTTTTTCTAAAGAGTGCTGCTAAACGAACCCTAAAATTAAATGAGTACACCATATGATCTAAGTACACCCTAATATTTTAATCAAAATGTAAAATTAACTAAGTACACCCTATTTAACTACAAAAAATATCCCTAATACACCCTAATACAATCTATCACACAACACCCTAATACCAATCCTAAACAAGATTTCTCTTTTTACATGAATTCGTGTCCTATTTTCAATAATAAATGTATACAGAGAGGAGGCGAATGAAGAACAATCAAAGAATGATGCCAAAAAGAAAGTTACGTTGGATTTGACTACCAAGGTCCATCATGAAGAATCATATACCACTACCAAGGAAGTCACCAATGGCTTGGTGGAAAGCTCTGATGAGAAAGAGGAAATACAAAAAGAGATGGAATCGATTGGTTCCATTATATCAGGCGTAGAGAAAGCAGGATCAGAAAGTGAAGCCCATTGAAAATCTTACTCAATGGAAGGAGGTCAAAGAGAAAGCAGGATCAGAAAGTGAAATGGAAGTCTACTGCATTTGAGGCAAAATTGGAGAGAGCTTTAGACATGGGTCAATTCAATATATCCTTTTTGGTCATTTTATATTAGGGTAAATTTGTAATTCAATAAATAGTTTGATAGTAGGGTGTACTCAGTTAATTTTAGGGTTCGTATAGCAGCACTCTTTTCTAAAACATCATATGCTTCTTCTTTTTTATTTTTTGAGAAAAGATGGTATTTCATTAAACCGAAAGGGACATTACATTATAAGAATTAGCATGTTAACGGCAGCCTCGTTAAAACCTTTTCAGAGAAACAAAATCCTGGGGTAGGAAAGAGTACTACCAATGCTATACCACCAATGCTATTGACTAAACAGAAGAGTCAAACAACTTATACGAAACAAACCAACATAAAACCCTTAAAACATCATCCCATCACTACGAATGTAGTGTCAAAGAAGTCAGAGTCAAAAACGTACTATGGGTATCAGAATAGATCCAGCCAATCACCCAACCGCAAAACCATTGAAACACATCCCATCACTACGCAAATACTGTCAAAGAAAGCCTCCTATTATCTGAAGAAAGCATCATAGTTCTTCATACAGAGTCAAAAACGTATTGTGAGCATTATAGTAGATCTAGCCAAACAACAACCGCCACCTCCAATTTTCTTGATCCAAAACCCCAGCTGACAAGCAAGGGAGACCAAGATTGGCCTCTTAGCCTGAAGAAAATTCCAAAGAAAGATCTTCATAGTAGGATCGTTCAGTTGCCAAGCCCACGAACGTTCCATAGGAGAATTGTTAGGGAGATCTTGGAGATCCCTCGAGGCTGGTCTCCTCTGCCTTTTCAACAAAATCCTCGATACAAAAACTATGCTTACCAGAAAAATCCATGCCACTAACAATCAGATGCCCAACACTAGTTTTCGCACGCTTCTGATTCCCGCTTGGTGCCGCATACTTGTCATCCCCTTAAGCAGAAGAGGGGGTGGCCATCTCCATAGCGTTAAGATGGAGACTCCTAACTCAGAAAGGAAGCCGATGCAGCCACCCCTAGGAGAATAAAAGAGCAAAAAAAAAAAAAACGTCATTCCCAATTCACCAAGAAGAAGCCAAAGAGACAATCAAAGAAGACTGAGAGAGACGACACAGAGAATAAGTAAAGAAAACTGGAGAAATCCTAAACCTAGCCGTCAAGGCTCTCCTCACGTGAACGAGAGAGCGACCCACATCAAATGCTTCTTGGAAATACAATTATACAACAATGTTATACCTATATGCAATTAAATTGTACTTTGAGTCCAAAATGGGCTTTTAGGTGAATTAGTTAAGAGCAGTTATCCCTGCATCTAAAATATCGCCTGTATGTAAAAATAAATTTATGCTTTGACCTTTTTCCTCTGACAAACATAGGGAAATGATAATGCAAGAAACTACAAAAATTTTGGGGTAATTTTGGAATGAATGCTAGGTTTTCCTAGAAACTACAAGAATTTAATTAGAATGTTGATGAAGGAAATACAAACGCTCAAAATCCAACTAACCCTAAACTTTTTATTTATTGGATAGCATATAAAATTTCTTCCAAATTCTGTTCATACATTTCAATAAAATTTCTAGGGCCCGCATTCACCACTTGGCCCTCCATATGCAAATCTATAAGTTTATAACCCCAAAACTCAACCTTGGTATCCTTGCCATTTTCTAAGCCGTAACAGCCAGACTGCCCTATATACTCATACACAGGATCAGTCTCTGAAGGAACCACTTCTTTAAGCCAACCCCTCATGAAATGCAGGTTTCTGAAATAGGCTGCATGGTCATAATTGTCATCTGGGTATTGGCCACTCACTCCCTATTGGGGGGCTACGTTTTCTCGCAGCCATGGCAGTTCCTGGCCACCCTACTTCTCCAGCCCCATTTCTTAAATGAGGTAACATTTCCTTTGGTCAATACCCTACTGTAATGTTCCTGTCTGTTACTGCAAGCCACCAAGTTGATGTTTGGGTATCCTACAAAATAAAAAGAACAAATAAGTAATGCAATGATGTTATCATGATTAGTAAAAGAAAGCATTCTTGGGCGAATAATGTGTAACAAGCATTTCTACTAATAGACAAATCATACTTAATACGTGTGCATACACTTTATTTATTTATTTTATAATATAAATAATTTGCATATAAGGAGGAATGACTCTTTGTACGTAAGGAGCCAAGTATTTCCTTCTTGGGTCTCGTCTTATTCAAGTTAATTATTGTTGGTTTACCTGGAAGATAGTGAATTTCATATCATAGATGGTCCACCAATAGTAGACATAGGTGACAAAGGCATTTTCGGAGTAAACGTCCGGTCGATTTGTACAAATGCTGAGCAGAGCAAGTGAAAGCACCGTATCGTCCCATTATTTACCTGTTCATAAGCACAATTTAGAGGTAGCACATTAGCTAGTCATGTGGCTATAAATAAAGAAAATTTTCACTTTTCCAAACAATTTGGTATTTTTTGTATGATGTTAGATTGTCAGTTTGAACAATCAATATCAAGTCAAACCTGATTTCTTTAACGTGATATAATTTAATAGTTTAAGAACATAACATTTGAGATATCTGATAACAAGGAAGAATTAGTAACTACAACAAATCAACAACATACAGTCCAATACGTATGCAACCGAGGCAGTTGATCGCCATTTATTAATGGTGAAACCTATGACAACATGACATGTTAATGGATGGAAGAAAAAACCCGGGACGAAATTTAGGATGTTTTAGAAATTAAACAGTACCATCCAGCCAGCAACAAGAACATTAAGTTCGTTACGCGGGCCCCTTAATGACAAAAACATTGCCAGAGCTAGATTGGTCTTCTGAATCCAAGCTTAGATTGTATACAGAACCAATCCCCCAAACTCCAAAGTATTTGACACCTTGTGTTTCCTTCAATTTAACGAATACTTGCTGTGATCTCACAACAAGCAATATTGAAGGATGTTAGAAGGCCTATGCCAGATATATTACATGAGACGTTATTAATGTTAGACGTGTAGATGTCTAACCCATTAAAGTGTGGTCTTATAATCATCAAAGGATTCTAAGACTTGATATCAATTAGGAGTTCAAATACAACTAAACCTGCAGCTCTATTAAAGTTAGTGTTTTAAGGCTAATATAAGAGCTAGAAGGATTCCTATCTTAATTGTGGATTAGAAGTTATAAACCTAATGCAATAAAGACTTCTTAAGAGTTTCTTGATGGGCAAGACTCTTAGGAATATGCATATAAATACAAGTGCCCCTGCTCAACCGATCAAGCCAACCCACACAAAAGAATTCACCCCATCTAGAATGAGTGTATGAGGGATCAGATTGAGGAGAAGAGCTCTTGTGTATATTCTTGATATTTCGACAGTTTCTATGACATACCAAAGATATGTGTTCTACTTATGTGCAGTCAATAAAGTTTACAATGACATGCACACTATTTCTATATTTATTTAATGAATTAATTCCCAAAATACAGCTTAGATTAATGCATGACCAACATTATATGTTATATTGGGCTTTAAATGTCTTTGGGCTTCTCATGACTTTTTTGGGCCTCAACACATACAATCAACAAGAAATTCATCACCTATCTTGTTTCGAAGCTGATTTTTATTAAGTCTCGTATAAGAAAATGTTCGTTTTGTTGTTGCTGTAGAAAAAAGAAGAATTAGCACCAAACGAATCAATCTGTCAATCAAGTAGTAGGTTTGTGCTTATCTTGTTTCCACTAAGTGCTTAAGTAAATGATTCCTTGGGTTGTAGGCTGCATCTATTTAAAGAAAATCAAGAGTGAAATTCAGAAGGTGTGGACGGATGAGTTTTACTTTTTTAATTTTCTATATGGGTATGCTTTTGTTTAATTTTCTGATGGGTTTCTTTAATGTGTTTGCATCTACATTTGATTGAGTTATGTTTTAGTGTTTTTTAATTAAGGATTTGATGGTTAGATGATAATAGCTTTTTCATGCACTTTACAAGTACTTGCTACAAAAAAATACAAAAACCACATGAATTCCTTGCAGTGATGACTCTCCATGTTAAGGATGTTATTTTGAAGATATTCACCTTAGGGTTGATGCGTGCTAATAATAGATTGTATCTAATCACTACTAGAATATGGCCACTACACACTGATTTTCTAGATACAATTTCATAAAAGTGTCTTGTGAATTTTGTTTGGAAACTAATTCCAAAACCATGCCTATTAAAGATATTTGGGATAGTCAATGGTGTGTAATACAAAACATTGATTTTCATGATTTTCCTTTAATATTTGATCCTTTTTATCAGTCCCAACTTGTCATTATCAGTCCCAATTTGTCAAAGGAAG